CCGTCCCCCCCCCCCCCACCCCTGAGACCAGCCTCTCTCCAGCCTCTTTGGGACCCCCCTTCAGAAAATTGAAGGCTGCTCTCAAATCCCCCCTCGCTCTGCTCTTCTGCAGACTAAATCAGCACAAATCCCTCAGCATCTCCTCATAGGTCATGTGCTCCCGCCCCCTCATCATTTTGGTTGCCCTTCGCAGGACCCTCTCCAGTGCGTCCACATCCTTTCTACAGTGGGGGCCCCAGAACTGGACACAGTACTCCAGATGTGGCCCCACCAGCGCCAAATAAAGGGGAATAATCACTTCTCTAGATCTGCTGGCAATGCTCCTCTTAATGCACCCTAATATGCCGTTAGCCCTCTTGGCTACAAGGGCACACTGTTGACTTATATCCAGTTGTGTTGCTGTCGCTCTGAAGGGCTGGGAATTCTGGCCTTTCTCCACTCCCTAAATGTGGCTTCCAGCTGCTTTGATGGTGTGATACTCAGGGACGGGGATGCAGTTGGGGGTGAGCAATGTGGAGGCACATAAATAACAAGCATGTATGAAGATGCCCATGCTGCAGATTCGCTCCCAGTGTGAGGGTGCCGCATGGAGGCATCCCCCATTTGTGCCTACCCTGAGGTCTCAGAAATGGCCAAACTGTTCGTGTTCCTTATAAAACTGCATCCAGGTGAAAATGCCAATTTGCCTTTTTCCCTCCACCTGCTCCCCCACCCCTGCACACATACACTTCGCCATCCCGTGTTCTGCACCTCCTGTGGTTCATAGTCCTTGTCAGTACTGACTGGTGCCTAGAGCAAAAGGCATTGAAGGCAGGCTCCGGGGTCCAGTCGTTTTAACTCTCCACCCTTCGGTAAAAGGGAAACACGGTAACACCTCTTGCAATAAATAACCTGAGTCTGTCTTCCCAGGGGTGAACCGGAGAGTTAATTCATTGATGTTTCCATGATGTTTTGGGCTCCTCAAGCTGAACAGTGCCTTTTAATGGCATTGGTGTTCATTATTATTAATTATTAATATAGGTCATATTAATTACACTAATTAATTATTATATTAATTGACTATCACATTATTTAACCAAGTATTGTATTTATTGATTATCGCATTATTTTAACCGAGCATTATATTGAAAGTTATCGTTAATTATATTAATTATATTAATGGACCGTAAGTATATTATTAATTAATTAATTACTTAATTATAAGTATAGTATAGTACAGTATAGTATAGTATAAAGGTCACTAAGCTCTGTCGCACAATCCAAGTGCATCATAGACCCCTCTGGAGAGCTGGCAGCCACGTGCGGCAGGGTCATCCCCATCCTGCTCACATCTAAAGGCGAACGAAGCCAGCGGGCTCCAGAGGTATGCACGGGGGGAGGGAACTACAACTCCCGACATGCAACGCGCCTGATTCCTGACAACCGGAAGCAGGTGGGAGACGGGGCAGAGGCGCGCCTTTACCCAGTACTTCGTTGCCTGGCGTGAAGACCCGCCCCTCTCCGCCACACTGCCCTATGATTGGCTAAGCCGCTAGCAGTCTCCTGGAGCGCTACCTGTGATTGGTGGAGAGGGGGCCTGGGGTTCCACGTGCTGTGGCTGGGGGGCACCGGGCTGCAGCTGCCTAGACCCTGAGCCAGCATGGTGAGTCCAGCGGGTCCTTGCAAGGCCCCAGCTGGGGGCCGGAGTTAAATAGGGCTGGAGCTTTTCTGGGCCTGGCTGGGGCTGGGGCAGGGCCAGGGCCAGGGCCAGGGCCAGGGGGGCAGCCCTGCCTGAGAGCCTGGGCTAGCAACTGGCCCTGTGTGGTCAGAGCCCACGGGCGCCTCTCGTGCAGGTGCGTGGCCCCAGCAGAGAGTTTGGCTAAGGCCTGCCAGCTGCAGAGTACTGGGGGGAGGGGGGCTGTTTAGAAGCCTCAGGGTCTGGTAACCCCTGCCCCCCTCCCCTCCTGATAACCTGCCCCTGGTAACCTATCCCTCTTCCCCCCTCTCTCCCCCCAGCGCCCTTCCTCTGTTGGCTCCTTCGCCAGACTCAAAGTTTCCTGGCCCAGAGCAGTCGCCGGGGGCT